CTCTCTCTCTCTCTCTCTCTCTCTCTCTCTCTCTCTCTCTCTCTCTCTCTCTCTCTCTATTTCTTTCTATCTCTTTCTCAGAAGATAACTATTACTAGATCTGCTACATTTTTGCTGGTTCCTGTTTGTTTTCTTTTACTTTTTTAGCGTACTTGGTCTTGCTCTCTCTGCGCATCTTTCTGACACACACACATGTCAATTCATATACGAATTATAAACCATTCTCAATAGTTATATTACTTGCTGTTACTCTGTATTATATTTCTGTAATCTACATGCTTGAGGGGATGATATCTCAGAGCGCACCATAAATGAAGCTCTCTCTCTCTCTCTCTCAGTCAAGATTTTGTTTTCTTCTTCGTAACGTCGAGGCTCAACGCTTCTCCGCTTCGCGAGAACATGATTGACGTATCAGTTTGTTACATAAACGATCGAATATTCTACGCTCGCGCGATCCTATCGTTAATTACTGTTTTGTATGTCCGTTCTGTGAGGCGGGGGTGGGGCAGGGGGAGAGGAGGGCTCGAAATCACCGAGTCGATCTCCTCGATCAGATAGCACTGTATTTTGTGATTTTGCCGCGAAACGGAAACGCTCGTCAGCAGGGCGGACCCCGAAATGATTTTTGTTCTTATCGCGCGAGATGGATCCAAGGTTGCGCTGATCCGTCGAGAGGCCAGTCGTGTGTCGCGATCGCGAGAAAGAGAATTCAAAACGCGAATCCCGCTTCTGCGTGGCGTTCACCGGCTTTCCGTTCTTCCCGAACAACTACAATGATATACAAATCAGTGCGTTCTTCACTAAAGTACTATACACAGAAAAAAGAAATTTCCGTTTGGGGGTGAAATGAAGGGACCAGGCGAGAAGCTTTCGCTGACGAGAAATGATGTCTCTGCGACCGAAAACATTCGTCTGAACACTCAGCTGCGTTAATGCTCGATTGAGATAACTGAGAGCAATTGGCTGAGTGGAAACCTTCTACAGAGAAATTCGGTTCTCATAAGCGAATTTTTCACCTGATCTCCAAGAAAATTCGGTTGCATTAATTTTAAACAGTATTCACTAAATTTTCTCTGTTGGATTTGACATAACAAATTCGTGTACTGCAGATTTTACAATAAAGAGTTTGCTTCCACTGGAAATCAATGAAATATAGATGTAACAGCAAAGTGGAAGTGTTAAAAAATAATGAATGATCACTGGTTATTGGCGAAAAATAATGGAAATTTAATCCTTTTTCTTTTAATAGTTGTAGAAAACATCGAGCAATACGAATCCGTTAATGTTTTTGCGACTCAATATTTTGTGATTCAATGAAGTTGTAAAAGTTGAATTTTGTGATTCTGTGAAAAAGTTATACGGTTTATGGGTTTTGAGTGCATGAGTTTACGTGCTTATAGATTTTAAATTTATGTGTTTTAGATTTACATGTTATGGGCTTATAAATATTAGTTTTTACCAAGGTTGGGTAGTAACTAATTAAAAAGTTAAATAGCTTTAACTTAACTTAGTTACATTTTTACACTCTTAACTTTTAACTTAACTTAGTTATATTTTATCGATAACTATTAATTTTTAATTCAATTATCTTGAAGTTAACTATGCCATAAAGATGTCGTGAGACGTTGAAAGGCTGTTCAGTGTAAGAGGACTTATTTCCAACAATCTTCGAGAAAAAATATCCGATAAAAATTTTGAAAAAACTTTATTACTTAAATTTAATAAGCATCTGTAAACAAAACATGTTTCCAATAAGGTGTATATTTGTTTTTTTCCGTTAATTGTAAAACTGAAATCCTGAAGTCATGAAATGAAACAAATTTAACTTTTAACTTTTTAATTACTTTTTTTATTATCTTAACTTTTAATTCAATTAATTTCATTATAGGTTAACTTTATCTTAACTAAGTTAAATTTTCAAGGTCATTAATTTTAACTTAACTTAGCTAAAAAAAAAGTTAACTTATCCAACCTTGATTTTTACGTATATCGCCATTTCGAGTTTTGTTTAAATAATCGTTTAAATAATTGTGCAAATTAAAAAACGAGCCAATATAAAATATGAAATATGAAATGTCATGTCATATGCTATGTGCATGCTGAGTTTAAAGAAAAATGGCGTGTCACATTTGGGTATTGTCCCTTGTAAATAAGTATTATGTTTAGGGTTCTAGGGTCAAGAGAGTTGACTCAACACTTTCACCCCGAAACGTTGATGACGCATACGTCGGCAGGTGTCACGAAATAGTAATTAGCGGTTACAGCACAGCGGCCGGCCGTCTAATGCGATCCTTTGATTCCCATAGACAGGCCTATTCGTGACTTCAGCGCGGTCCTTCGCGAATGTCGCGTTTGCGCAAGACGGGAACATTGTCGAATTTCCAAAGCCGCGATTCGGGACGCGTGAACAATTCGTCTTCTTTTTGTCTTTCTTATTTTTTTTTCTCGCCTGTGGGACGGCGATGACATTTGCGGTTCGGCGCGGCGGCGCTTGGATTTCCTCGCGCACACTCAGGGTTTCCCGCTGCTGCGCATCTTCGCGGACGTTGCAGCAAGGAGATGCAACCTTGAGATACATTGCAGAATTAAGGACTGCGAGCCGCGCGAAAGCGCGCAGTCAACCCGAGTCGTCATTTGCATTCCGCCGGCGTCTTCCGTTCCGCGCGCGAACGAGGCCCTCAATTTTCGAAACGCGTTCCCCATCAATTAGCGACGCGTAATTAGCGCCTGCGAGCTTTTCCAGATCGACACGCCAAGTCCGAGGGATTGGACGTCCGGCGGTTACGCGTCGCCGTTGCGACTACAGCCGCGATAAAGATCGACTTGGTGCGCCACGAATTCTCCTCTTCCCGCGCACGAAACATTCGGGTCTCTGGTTCACGAACGAGCCTGTATCGTCCGCAGAACACTTTCTCATCGTGTGTACTATCGTTTTACGTTCTCATGTTCCCCCGTGAATTCTGCAACGCGAGCAACACGAGCTTCTGCTGCGCGGCTCTACAGATTTTCAATAACGCGCCACTCTCACGGCTGCGGCGAGTGTGGAGCAATTCTTCAATTGCGTGCGTTACGCTCTGTCTATTTTATATTATTAACGTTACGCGCCGGTGTGGCGCACGTTTCAAGAACAGCAGGCAACAAACGGCAGCATCTCTTCCCCTCTCTCTCTCTGCTTACGGCCGATTTCGCACGGATCGTGTTGCGGCGCGCGCATTGCGTGCGGCCTGAGTGCCACAGCACTCGTAAGCGCACATACGTTGGCTTAATTAAATTATTTGTCTGTCCGTTAATTAGGTATCGGAGCGATTGCAAAATGCGCGACTCGGATGCCGTGGGAAGGTCTGCTTTATTACTTCTGCGTGATTTACTGAGCGCGAACGGTTCGCAGCGCTGGAAAAGCGTCGTCACTTGTCCGTCGATTAGTTTCCCGAATAAAAACAAAAAATACCCGAGTTGAAATTTTGATCCTACTTTTAGCCTCACTATTCCATTCAATACTTATTTTGATATTCTGAAGCCTATAATACAAGCTATTTTGACGCTAAAGAAAGTGAGAAGGGAAATTTCGGTCAACATCAGTATCAAAGTAGGAGTAAATTGAATTATTAGAATTAAACTCACTTTGCTGACTTAGCTCCTACGTTGTAGAATTCAAAGTTTAACACAGGTCAAAAATTTTGACTCGGGTTAAATCTCGCGACTTCTTCTCGTGACGGCTTAGCGCTTTCGCACGAAATGCGCTGCCCACCCGGTATAAGCCCCGACAATTTCATAACGACTTGACTTCCGAGCATCTTCTTTCCTGTCGCCGGATACCAACAAAGAGACATGAAAGTTATTCTCACGTTTCTTACCATTCGCTCGGCGTCAAGTGATTCATCGCGACGCGGCGATATTCTCGAATCTTTCGCGTGCACGAGGAATCTTTCAATGAGCCGACGAGATACTCCGGCTCAATGATACGATAAATTGGTATTACGACACGTCGTTATTAATATTTCAGGCGGGACGGATCGCATTGTTCGCGCCGATACGCCGCTCCATATTAACGACGCGTGTAAACGCTCGCGGTTAATTGCAAAACTCCCGCGTACATTTTATTACGTCATATTACGCAACGCGATTGTGATTGACATGCGCGAGAGAAACAAGAAGAGCACACAGATGCGCCGATGAGTGTATCACCATTTTGCGTGCGACTGGATTCCGTTCCTGCGCGATTAGAGCCTCCTAGTCGCTGTTGCGTCACGTTACGTTTCTGTCGTATGCATTTTTATAGTGTCTTACCTTACGTAAGTAACACAGAGCTCGAATTATAATGAGCGTCTCGCAGCGCCGTCCTGCATGCTGCTGAGAAAATTCTGACACAACAAATGCAAACATTATGTGATAAAAAATCAAATTTTTTTCCTCCAAATTTGAAGTCTCATTTCGTGACTTTAAATTTGTACAAAAATGACTTCAAAGGAAAGAACTACCAGGCGATTCGCAAGCGATTTAATGATAGACTTTACGCAGATTGTTGTTACAGACAAAATTTGTACAGAATGTTTCATGCAACGCACTATAACTCAAAAGTAATTACGATTTTTAATCCTTCAAGGCAAAAATTCCCAGACATGTATCAAATTCTAGATACTCTTACTGTTTTGGCTTTTAAATGTTCAAACTTTTAACATAACAAAATGTGTATATCTTTTGAATATATACGTATATTCTCTTTTTGAAAGTTTAAATTCAAAGGCCGGAATAATACGAATATTCAGGATCAAGAGTGTGTCCGGGAGTTAGTACACTTTTACCTTAACTTCTTAGCGATCTCAACTTAATTTACTCCTACTTTGACTCTGATGTCCAAAATTTTCATTTTCACTTTCTTTAGCGTCAAAATAGGTGTTGAGTGGAATAAGTAATTCTAGATACTCTTACTGTTTTGGCTTTTAAATACGAATGTCCAAACTTTTAATAAAAAAAATGTATACATCTTTTGAATATATACGTATATTCTATTTTTGAAAGTTTAAATTCATAGACCGGAACAAAACTAATGTTCAGGATTAAGTGTGTGTCCGGGAATTAGTACTTTTACCTTAATTTCTTAGCGATCTCAACTTAATTTACTCCTACTTTGACTCTGATGTCCGAAATTTTCCTTTTCACTTTCTTTAGCGTCAAAATAGGTGTTGAGTGGAATAATAAGTAATTCTAGATACTCTTACTGTTTTGGCTTTTAAATACGAATGTCCAAACTTTTAATAAAAAAAATGTATACATCTTTTGAATATATACATATATTCTATTTTTGAAAGTTTAAATTGAAAGCCCGGAACAATACGAATATTCAGGATCAAGAGTATGTCCGGGAATTAGTACACTTTTACCTTAACTTCTTAGCGATCTCAACTTAATTTACTCCTACTTTGACTCTGATGTCCGAAATTTTCCTTTTCACTTTCTTTAGCGTCAAAATAGGTGTTGAGTGGAATAATAAGTAATCCTAGATACTCTTACTGTTTTGGCTTTTAAAAATAGGTGTTGAATGGAATAGTAAAGTTAAAAGTAGGATCGAAATTTCGACACGGATTGACTTCACGGATCCGTCCGCGTCTCAGCCGCGTCGCGCGGAAATTCGCCGTGATGAATCGCGCGTGCGCGCCTGCCTTATCTCTCGTGGCACTGCGCCAGGTTTATTACAGGTGTGCCACCTGCGACACAGACTCGCGTAACACGGGTACACGCGCCGTTCCGTTTTATCAGTCAGCACAACTCACTACTCACAAACGAACGGACGAACGCACCAATGAACGCACGGGCGAACGAGCGAACGGAGCGGCGCGCGTTGTCCCACATTTGCAGTCGCACGTACACGACAGCGCATACCGCAGGTGCCTCTGTCAATCGTCCGTTCGTTCGTTCGTTCTCCCGCGGCATATCCTAGATATCCCGGTCTCGGATTCGCTGTCGAGCGAAGAGATTCGCGCGGACATCGCGCGGCGGGACCACAGTCCCACCGTGCTTCGTCGCACGCGGATGCATCGTCGTCGTCGTTGTCGTCGTCGTCCTCCTGTTGCCGCTGCAGTCGACGCGACGATGTTTCCGGAAGCGATGGCTTTTTCTGCCACCGCCGCCGTCGTCGTAATCGTCGTTCGCCGCAGGTGCGTTGAACGGTAAGATCGAGACCGAGGTCGCACCTGGGCGTCGCGTGTGTGACCCGTCGAATCACCCCGCCGAATTCGTACGTGTCGCTGTACGTGCGCGCGTGCGACTTACCTTGGTCGGTCGTGTCAACCGCCGCCGAATGCAGAAGAGCGAAGGTAATCAATTAGTCGGGCCTTTTTTCACGGTTTCGCTGTGTTCGAGATTCAGACGGAGTTCGCCGAACCTACGCGAAATTTTGATCCTACTTTCAACCTCACTATTTTGCTCAACACCTATTTAGACGCTAAAAAGAAAGTGAAAAGGGAAATTCCGGATATTATCAGAATTAAATTAGCAATAAATTGTATAATTACAATTTAACAAACTTTGCTAACTTAGCTTCTACTGCATTGTAGAATTCAAGATTAACACAGAGTCAAAATTTCGACTCGGGTTTATAATGGATGTATAGCGAATATTAAGGTATTCATAGTGCCTCTTACTTTTAAGATAGTCTTTAGTTCATCTTCAGATACTCCGAGAAGAACTGCTGGAAAATTTACTTGTGGAATATAAGCTTTAATTTTCCGCAAAATAAGTTTATTTCTGAATAAACTTTATATATTCCACATAATTAATTTTCGAGCTTTTTTCTCTTAGTGGAGCCGCAATGATACGATTCGTGCAGCATCTGGTGAATTTAGGATGAACTTAAATAAAGAATAGGATATGAACATCTGACTAAAAGTGCCTTTCGAATTCTGAGTTCCATTTTTCTTATATTTTTCTATTTTTCTTTTTTTTAATATTTTTAAGAGGACTAAGTATATATTTTATATTCTGTTTTTCATATTTTTTTACTCGTGATCTGGTTTCTTCATAAATTCTATTCATATTTTCGTATTCTATTTTCAATTTTTTTAATTAAATTATAAATTTAACTTGTATATTCTGTCTTACTCATTCTTGCATTTCTGTAAACGTCATATGTAATGTTGTCTGAGTCTAAGAATCAGAAAGTTTTGTTTTACTTGCATTTCTTTATTTCTCCTTTATTCTTCCATTTTATTTATATTTCTACATTCTACATCTGCTTTATATTCTGCTTTCTATATTCAATTACTTACATTAAATTATAAATTTAATTGAATTCCGTTTTGCTCGTATTCGCTGAAACGTCGCTTCGGATCGGAAAGGCATAATTAACGACCGTTACGCGTTCAGAATCTGGCCTCCGAGGTTGCGTTCGACCGATCGATCGATCATCGTTCGAATAGATTTCGCTGCGATCGCTCGGGCATCCGTTGTGTGTTTGTTCGCGCGTTTGTTTCCAGCTGATTTCCATCCGGCACAGCGCCTCGGCGTGGCTCGTGATCGTCGTAATTACCATGCGGCCATTGTTCAAATTAACGATCGACGCTCTCGGCCGCGCTCGACGTCGCTATCGTGAATTCTGCCAGCCGCTTGTGCAATCGCACGCATCCCTGCGCGCTCACGTCGCGCTTACGATAAGTCACTTCGCGACGAATAATTGCGCGCTCGCGACTTTTACTTGCGCTCACGCGACCGGCGTCTACCTCTTGCTCGTAAATCTGTGACGAGTCGCTGTCATCGTTATCACAGAGGCTGTGTAATCGTGAGATATGATAAAGTTCCTAGATAAGCACGGTAGCCTATTTGATCGCGCGAAGAAAACGATGCAAACAGTACGGACGCGGACGGTCTTGGATCTTAATCGTTTCCACGGAACGATCGTGCGGGATTGGGGAAAAAAAAGGATGGAGGGAGCAGGAAACGGGGGACACTGGAAGAAGTAAACGAGAGGTAAACGTTAACATGATTCTTCATCGCGTTCGAGGCCGTTATCGCGAGCAGAGTGCGTCTCTCAGCGAGAGCTCGGAGCGAATAATCCCTCCGACACTTCTGCGAGATTCGTGTCTGATTCATGAGTCGCGCCTACGTCGCGCACCTATTACGAAGCGGGCCGAGAACGTTCAATCATGCAAAAGTGGAGGAGCCCGCGAAGATCGCTAGAACGACCGGATCGATGACCCTGCTCGGACGAGCGTCTCGTCTTACCTGAGTGATTCATCGATCAGCTCCTCGTATCGACGACACGACGACACCAAGTGCCGGCGGATGAGCGACGCGATACCAGCGGGCCGCGAGATAACTTTTATCTGACTGCGCACACACTTTTTCGCGTGCAGTTCTCTCCTTTTTTTTCTTTCTTTTTTCCGCAGAGCTCCGTATACCTCATGCCGGAATCCGGATCTCGTGGCGCGGCGCAAAGTAACGACGAGAGAAAAGGAAGTACCGGAGGATAAGCTGCACTTTCAGGAATGCGCGCAAGAAATTTACAATCGCGCCGCGCGACCGTTACGTCTCTCTCCCTCGTGAGGTTCGATCCGCGCGACGTTCGAATTCCGCGAGGACGGATGCGTGGCACGCATCGTTAGGACTCCTTCGTGACGCGACCATAATGGCTTCCGGTCGCAGACATCCAACGGCGCTTCCGGTTTCCACCCCACCGTCGCCGCAGAATGAAAAGGGGAATTCAGTTGATTTCGCGTTGTCAGATATAATCACCGTCCGGCGACGGTCACGTAAATTTCGCTGGTATAAATTCGTGACTCTTTTTTTGTCTCTCTCTTTCTCTCTTTCAGTTCTTTTGCAACGAGCTTAAATTTCGCGGCGATGCGCGTGCATGTACGATGGATGGACGTATGGTTCTGCTTATAAATATGTTTTTCCAACAATCCCGCTTATTACGTAAGAAAGGCGAGATTCTGCGAGGTATCGTCGAATATAACGGAGGTGTCGGGAAACCGTAATAACGAGCAGCGATTCTATTTCATCTGCTAACGCTACCGTTATCAAACATCCCGAAGCTTCTCTTTCCTTCTTTCTCACTCTCCTCTTCTCTCTTTCTCTATCTCCCTCTTCCTCTCTCTCACTTCATGCGTTACGCGTGTGCGCGAACTGCGAGCCACGCTAATTGATTATCGAGATGTCTGCGAATTTCTCGACACATTCGCTCCGAGCGCAAACACGAATGCCGTCGCATCAGCAAGATACAAGGTGCCTCGAACGAAACGAACATTTCCTCATGAAAAAAGCCGTTTCTACCGGACACCCGTTGGACAGCCGCCCGCGTTAACAGTTCTGTTATTGTACGCGGGTGTAACTCGGCGACAGGTGTACGGATGCGACCACGTACACGGTGTCCTGCTACGAGCGTTTCGCTTTCACGTAACGTCAGTCGTGCTGTCGCGCTTCAGTGTTCTTCCCTCAGGTGTTTTTTTTTACCCAAAGCGAGATTTTCCGCAGAGACATATAAATAAAGTTATGAAAATGAGATGAAATTTATGAGACGCGCGGTCTGCGACGAATCTCCTGCGACACAGAGCTATAGTGTCTTGATCTTGAAGCGGAAATCGCGATTTTGAATGACGAAAATCGCGACAGACGTCGCAGAGATCTTATTGACAAGTTCGCGTCCGCTTTTCATTCCCGCTCGCTGATTTCGCGCGCGTGTGCACGACTTGTGCCTTCGGTTGCGCTACACTGGAGACGCCGAATCTCCATTTTCTGCGTGAGCTGCACAACTCGGAATTTTGCGCTGCTCTCGTTTCGGGCGCACGAACGCTCCGTGAGCGCGAAGCCGAACAACAGAGGCCCGCCACACCTGTAACGGACAGAATACATTAATGAATCCTTCCTCACCTGACTATCGGTCACCTGACTCATTTCCGGTGGACTGAAAAGCCCCCCGGTACGTTTAAAATCGCCGATGTACAATTGTATCTCGCGCATCCGCTGTACGAGGTGTAATCACGGAGCGCGAACAAAAAGCCGTCATTGCCGTCGCACGTCTACAGAGAGCAGTGAAAGTTAAAACGTCCAGCCGCGTCACATATTTTCATATTTACTTTGTTCTTCTCGCGGCGTGTATACAGCGCGAGCACGTGAGCTGTATGCGGCATTCGTGGTGAACGAAAATTCACGAAAGTTCGCGAAAAGTGAGATCGGTGCGCGATTAGAAATTGATGAGACGTGCAGAGGGCTTGCGATAAGTTAACACCGCTAGAAGCGTTATCATCACTCGAAAACGCGTTCTCGTCTTATCAGGTTGGAATGTTTATACTGCGGCAATGAGAAACGGAATAACAGAGCCTCGCTCGCGGGCGATTGCTCCGTAAATAGCGCAAAACATACGTCTGAGTGCGGCGAGGTGGGCGGAAGGAAAAAGAAGAAAGAAAGCAAAACGGTGGAACCAGTCCGGTGCAAGGTGCAACACGTGCTGTGCCCGACAGCTGTTTTCCGGTTTAAGTTCGGACGTTAAGTCCATTTTTAATTTCGCGCCTGGACGCACCTCCGAATAATAATTATTATGACGTGACACACAGAGAGGTGGATCCTACGTCGGTTACGAACTCGAGAGTCATTCACCGAAACGCGCGGCTTATTCATGCATGCACACAGTCTTGGAAAACGCACGCGGTGACGTGAATCGTCGTGAAAATGATGGAAGCGCATTTGCATATATTTTACGATCTCTCTCCGTTTAACGTCCATCGCGCAAAAAGATGTCTTGCTGGTAGAATTCTAAATGTCACAGTTAAAGTTTATCGCTGTTTCTTGCATCCGCTAGAGAAATGTCTGTGGCACGTAGAGTTTACGGCAGCAACGTTTTAGCAATATCTGCAAGCAAATTTTAGATGGACGTGAGGATTATACACATTCGTTTGTCTCTGTCGTTGCTAGTCCACCACTCTGAGAGAAAAATGCTTGGTTTTATAACTACATAAAGAAATAATTGTTACAAATTATGATGAAGAGAACCATTGTTTCGTTAAACTCGACTATAATATTAGCGATAATAACCTTAAGTGTATGTTATTGTTTTCATTTTCGTGTTAGAGCAACCAAGAAATATAATTGAAGCTAAAAATGACAATAATTTTAGTAAGATCAACCATTTTTCTCTCTCAGAGCACAGTCAGTTTTTCCAAGTGACTAGCTCTAATCTGGATGAGCACCACGGAGAGACTTTCTCGCTGAATTTCACTAGTTCAGATAGAAATTCTGTCTTTGTCATCTGTATCAATTAAATACTAAACACATGCCAACATCACAGTGTTCGTCAATCATTCACCTATCTTGGTTAATTGCTCGAATAATAATCTTCACTATGATCGCAAGACTATATTTTTTTGAGCGTATAGAAACTGCGGGCAACATCGCGCCGAGCTAACGATTGGCAAACGTCATTTTGCAGATAGCCCGTCGTTTCCGTTCAATGTAAGAAACGGGAGGAGGAAAAACGGAGGTAGCGGCAAATTTCGCGTCGACCAGCAGGCCGATCTAAGCCGTCACAATGGAGGACGAGGACTTCGGTTTCACGAGGAGGACCGACAACGTCCTGAGGAAGGTGTGCACTGTTAGCGGCGGCGAGAAGGGCAAAGATGAGCGACGGATCTGTTCTGCACCTAAGGTCGGTCGACTTTCCATTCACTTGCAGTTAAAGATATTCTGCACGTGTAAAATATGTGTCGCGAGCTAATAATTTCATCACTCGAAGAGAAATTAAGTGAATGGAGTAGAATTTTATATGATCTTTGCAATGATCACGCAATGCTCGATGTGCACAACAATTATTTATGATGTTTTTAATGATATATTAAGAACAATGCGCACATATTGCCAATCAGTCTAAATTATAACATTTAATTGCTATTTTGTTTATTACCCGACGTCTCAGGAAATATAATCTCATCTTTAGCGGAATCCTCTATGGCCTCTTTCAGATTCTTCTGAAACCAAAAAGGAAGTATTGCCCAACCATAATATTATACATTGAGAAAAAAATACTTGATACTTATTCGTGGGATGCAAAGTTTAATTCTGTGAAATAAAATTTATTTCTGTCAAGTATAGTTTATACTTCTGTATGAATGAACTTTACTCCACAAATAAACTTTCCAGTATTTTTTTCGATACACCTTTTCATTAGAAGAGGATTGTCTTCTTTTAATGGAGTATTCTCTTTTGGCAAAAATTTTCGCTTGGAATATGGGATTACAGGAAATAGTGTCTTGTAACTGGAGTTCTTTTTTTTTTGAAGTGTTCTCTTGAAAAATCCTCTTGAGACCGTACATAAGAGGATTCCGCTAAGGATAAGGATTATATTTTCTTTCGGTGAAGAGTACCGTAAAAATGCACGGACGCAGAAATCGCTTCTGTCGAGACGTTGACGCGGAGCACGCGGGGCTCCTTAACACGCGCGTTATGGAAATACGAGAGCGGATTGACGTCTACAGCTCGATAAAATGCCATTAGACATCGGAAGTCGTTGGCGGTGGTGGTGGATCAACGACACCAGCGCCTCCGATCGCGGCCGGAAGCGACGGCCGTGAACGCGCGTCAACCGCCGGCTCAGTCGTGGCCAACACGCCGAACATACCGAACGTGGTGGAGTACCATCTTAAAGTGAAGCCTAGGTCAACTGCGAGGCCCTGCCGGCACGACAACGTTCCCGTGAGTAGCGCCCGAGGAGGCTCTCGTGGAGAGCGCGTTTGGGGTCATAGGTCGGCGGGAGACGGTCGTCGTCGAGCTGACGTTTTCATTAGCGTGTTGTCGACGAGCAGAATAAAGGCCGTCGAACGCTTTGAAAATCTAATCACCGCTGTTTAATAATCCTAGTGCTTCATTCATTCCACTAATTCGTCGGGACGCGCAAATTTTCTGCGAATTTCCTGCCATCAGACAGATTGTTGGTTAAATCATACGCACGACCGTTCTCTGACCCGGCAATTAGTTTGAGGTGGGAGTCAAATCCGCGATCAATCAGCTTAAGAAGACACGAATTTGCAACAGAGGGAACAGTCTCGTGAAGAAATGAAGGAGGAAGAGAAGAAGAGTATGATGTCCGTCGTCGATGAGAACAGAGATCTCGCGTGGAAGCTGTCGCGATTGTCCATCGACAACGTCTACGAGGGTTCCACTGACCTGCCGCAGATGTTTCAGGTATAGTTTCCCCCCACCCTTCCCCATTCGGGAATGCTCGCGCTATTTATTCTATACCTGTGTTCTAGTAACGCGCAGACCCTCGGAACTTAATTAACGACGCACTAAGAGAAAAATACCCACGAGTGGTATTATTATCGCCATTGTGTTATTAATTAACGGGAAAAAAATAGAGACACAATAATATAGGTCTTATTACATTCGTTTAACCGCAGTTACAAGAGAATGAACAGCTTTTGTCGACGAGCCTAATGACTTTCTATTTTTGTCGTGTTAGTCCTGATACGAGACTCAAACGCGCTCAGATTCGCTCTTTCCAAAATAGAAGACTCGCCGGGCCGCGCTCTGGTGAAATTTGAAAATCGCTCTGTGGCACGCGTATTAGCCGGCGTTGAGTGACGCAACACCGCGAAGCGCGATCACCGCTTCGAATTTCGAGCGTTGAAATTCTTAGGCGAAGTGTTGGCGAAGGAAACGGCCGTTACGATTTCAAGGTCTCGAGAGCGGTAGTCGATGCTCAGGCGGTTTGTTTCGCGCCGGAGACTTTAACCAGGCCCTTTGCAGGTGAGGTATCTCGGCTCCCACGATGCCAGAGGCCTCTGGGGCATTAAGCACACGAGGAAACCCGTCGATAACATGGTCTCGGCCGCGAAGGCCTTGCCGACCAACACGATGCTCCCTCTCATCAAGCTGGTGGTCTCTCAGAGCGGAGTTACCTTGCTGCCGTTGGACAAGAGGAAGCAGGACTCGAGTTCGTCCAAGAGATACCCGATCGACACGATCTCCTACGGGGTCCAGGATCTCGTTTACACCAGGGTCTTCTCCATGATAGTCGTCCAAGAGACGGACAATTGCCGGAGAATCGCGCCGTTCGAGTGCCACGGTTTCGTTTGCGAGTCCAAGTATCACGCGAGACAGCTGACGCACGCGCTCGCCACCGCCTTCGACATTTACTCCAGGATCGTGCGAAGCCAGGGCAAGCTGGCCGAGATAGCCGGGAACGCCGCGAAGAGACGACTAGCGATCGATCTGAGGAGTCCCGAAGAGATCGAGGCGGATCTCACGACGGACTCTGAAGCGTAGCTAGGAAGTGTGTTCGTTAAACTGCTTCGTGCGTCGCGGATACACTGAAACACTTGATAATTAACTCGTGAGATATAACGTTTACTTCTACGAATGAACTTTGTATCCCACAAATGAATTTTCAAGTATTCCTTAATCAGTAAAGACATAAGTGTCTGACAATGTTGGTCATTATTTGATTAAAATTTTCTTGGAATAAAATGATCGATAAATTAAGGCGCCTCGTATTGTCTATCTTTTTTTAATGATGTCAGAAGCGAGAAAATGCATGCTAAAAATTCTTGCAAAATACATTGAAATAAAAATATATATCCATAAAGTAACACTTGCAATCGATTAAACAAATTTTTTAAATATTCCGTGTATTCTCCTTTTGCTCTAATAATCAATAATTTATTGTAAATTAATCTGAATAGAAATAGGCGAAGAAACAGGTTAAGAATATGAATTGTATGTCATGTTAATTTACGACAAATTATTGATTGTTAGAGCAAAAGGGGAGTATACGGAATATCTTACAAATTTGTTTAATCGATTACAAGTGTTACTTTATGGATATATATTTTTATTTTAACGTATTTTAGCATTTAACGTATTTTAGCATTTTAACGTATTTAAGAATTTTTAGCATGCATTTTCTCGCTTCTGACGTCATTAAAAAGAGATAGATAATGCGAGGGGCCAGGAGCCTTAATCATAAAAATAAATCACTCACGAGCAATTTCATCGACTGATAAAATTAATCAGCGTATAATCAATTAGATCAAAGTTTGATTAAAAATTAATTTTATCAATCGATTCAGTTATGCGTGACTGATTCATTTCGACCATTGATTTGATTAACCGATTATTTTAATGAAGGAAATTTTGATCTACTAATGCCCAACACTGGTGTCTGGTCGGAAAAATTTCGCGCCCGTTTCAACAAATCTGGCTCGCTCTCGACGATGATACGTGAGTGGAGAATTATTCTCACGGGCACTTAAAACAAAAATATCTTTCGAGAGGACGACACAGGGTAGGGAGTATTGTTGCCGGCTTTGCGAAAAGTACCGACGTGCTTTCGTCGCGGCAAAGTTTGCAGGCGTTTGTGCACAGTCGGTGATTGTGAATCCCTGAGGTAGTTACGGCCTTCATCACGCAGCTTATATGTCATCCGAAATCGAGTTAAAGAGATGCGCGGAAGATTTAACTCGGCGTGAGAGATTCGACATGCGTATTCTTCACTGTGCGCGAAAATAAGTTCACTGGAGTGCATTTTTAGAGTATTATGCGTTAGAGAGAATGTATATTTAAGTTTGTACACGACGTATTTTTCTATTTGTGACAATATATAAGTAGGAGCGTTACTGCGCGTTACTGCGCGGATGAGATTCTGTAAATAGTCGCGAGTACAATCGGAACTCTCGTATAAAATATCGTAGATTAGGTGCATCATTTTTTTTTTTTTTTACCAATATCGTGGATGCAATTTTATAACGTATCTCGTTGGAAGAACGAGACTACTGCTGAAAGCGCGTCTCAATGTAGCCTCCTTCTTTCAATTCCGATCGATGATCTGGAGAAAAGAGAGAGAGAGAGAGAGAATTTTGACGCGAGCTTGTTTTAATTTAACATTCGAGATGACACCTGCGTGCGCGCACGTTGCGAATTGGTGCTCCAGTCCGGAAACGCGGCGACACTCGGGCGCTGGAACGTTGTTACATGGATATGTGTGTTCGTATAACTGTTGCTTCGTTAAATATTTTATCGGCATCGCGAAAAGCTAGGATGGGCCCCGGCCTGTCCAAGACATGATGGCTAGCTATCCAAAGATATCGAATAGAAAACGACGGAACGCGGATGGAGTTGCGGTTGGTGTTTTATCGACACGTCGCGACGACTTGTGCGATTTCGCGAGAATTTCTCTTTTCTTCCTTTTTTGTTTTTTCTTTTTTTCCCTTTTCTGTTTTTGCCGATCGACCAATCGGACGACGAATTTGGATCTATCTCTAGCCGCTTTACGTGTGCGTGTGTGCGTCTCTAAATTTAAGACTCCTATTACCCCAGAGAGCGCGTTGCACATCGGCATCAGTGAAAATTATTGGTCCATAGTTGTGCAAGAATAATCCAACTCACAAAATTATGATTTCCGAGCTTTTTTTACCAATGGCTAGTTTTACTAATGGCGTTTTACTAAACGTCTCTCTGCATAAAGCAAATAAGATCCTAGTCTTATGGGCATCTAAGATTAAAGTTACAGTTTACAGTTAACATTAAGATTACAGTTTTTGTTTCCTATAGTTGCACCTTTTTTACTCATTTTTTAAAGATCAATGGATACCCTTAGAGGGAAGAAAATTAACTGTGCTTGACTTCTTGAACGATCGCGAGGAACCTATAGCGCTGACTATATTTTTTAAATCATGTATCAAGATGTTCATCTTCATTATTCTCGGAACATATTTCATGTGGACTGAATCGTTCCTGCACAACTGTAGCCAATTCACTCATCCTCTGCCGTTCTGTTCAACGTACTCTTGTTTCTAGTACTTTAGTCGCTTTAGATTAAGTTCGCGAGAGAGAGAGACCAATCAATCGATACATATCAGTCACTGTAAAGGCGCGCTGTTGTCAGCCACGACGATGACAACGCTTCTCTTACTGCAATTCTGTACATTGCTTTGCTTTAGTTGGTAAGCTTTTTTTCTTCTAGCATTCCCGTTTCCCCGCGGTCGCAACGCTGTAGCATATATCACGACGTTTCGCGCACCTTAGGCTTGGGACATTCGTGTAACACTTGTATAATCACATGGGCCTCGTGCTTCTTTCAGCCGGCAGTATTACATGCCCACTCGAGCTGTACTTGCGTTGTTAATTGAGAGATAAAGCATGTCAGCAGGATTCACTGTGTCTTGGAGAGTGTGTCTTTCCCTAACGCGACGATTGTCGCTGCGCATATCACGTTGCACATATTCAAATTCTTCGGTTCGCACGTAACATTCTTCACTTTATTCGATATTAATTACAGAATAGAATCGTCTTCGATATCTCGCATAATTAATACTTGCATCTCTATTATCCGCCCGCGACCGGCACTGTACATGATTCTGTCTCAAGCGCGAGACTGCGATATTCGCAACGTTTTACTCCGCCTGAGACTACGCCTAGACCTAGATAATTGAACTGCAGTTCTGTAGCAAGTGAAGCGATCTACGAGAAGCAGCGAGTATCGTAAACACTAAATGAGCATTCGATCGATCTCGATCATGGGAAGCTGACGCGATTGATTCCATGCACAATCACGATACTTCAGTCCCTCCTGAACGAGCTGAGGGCAAGTATAAGCTTCACTGATGTCGCAGCAATCTCTCTCGAGTCTGCAGTCTCGAGCTCCTCGTGGGCGGCTTCTTCGACGCTGGACTTTGGATTTCGGATTCGGGAGCTTTCGTGCTCTCCTTCCCTCGTTCTTGGTCTGCCTCCTCCTCTTCTTCTATTTCCTTACCAATTTCTTCATTTAACGCGTAGTACTTCTCCGACTCTTCGCACGGTATCGAGCTCTCCGTTTGCGTGCACACGAATGTCGCCTGTATATGGAATCAAGAGATATTTGACGAATTGACGCGTCCGGTCGAGCGAGAAACTGACGAAAAATAAATAGCTGCAACTCTTAATATCTGCGGAGTTTTTCTGGTAAATATGTCAATCCCGAAAAATCAAAATTCCGAGATTTGATAAGCAAGAAAAATCACAGTCCCGAAAACTGAGCAGACAGAGATAACCTTCTGAAGCACTGAAAGCATGAAGCTGTCCTTTCAATATTTCGGAATATTGTGCTTAATTTTCGAAATTGTTCGGAATGTTGTCCAATTTTTGGAATTTTGATGCTTTAATTTTCTTTGGGAAAATCTCTTTCCCTCTTTCCGAAAATGCGGCAATGGTAAAAATAACGAAACTGAATTAAAGTCCACGAGAGTCGCGACTACTAAGAAGACGCAACGCCTTTTGAAGATTTACCTGATTAAAAACCGTCTCGCTGGGACAGATGAAGCTCCATCGGATCGCACCCCTCGCCTGCGGCAAACACACGTGAAACACTTGGCACTCGTTCTCCATGTCGGCGTAGTAGCCGTAAATTCTGTCCTGACAGGAGAACGTGTCGACAATGTTCTCACGGATCAACGTCGCGTTGTCGGGCAGCAGCAGGCCGCCGGTTTTCGACTGCAAGAAAATACCTGACGATGAGCTCGGCGCGAATTAGCGCGCGATTGTGACGGAAGACGTGGCGCGATATCGTGAAGTACGCGAAAAAAAGTCGACATTCGTGAGAAAACCTTGTTGAATACCGGTGTAGGTCTCTTGGGTTTCGACTGCTGGGGCAAGCTCAGAGCCAGCGCGAGGAAGCCGACGAGCAGCGGGACGAGGAACTTTTCTTGCGCCATGTTCCCTTCAAGTATGCTTCAGGTTTTTTTCGTTTTCAGCTGATCGCCGCTTTCTTATCTTGGATTGTTGACTCTCCCGGCGAATTTGACGCTTTATTGGAGCTCCGTGTTCGGAGATCTTGAGAGAACTGATGACTCGGACCGCAGAAGGGTGTTATATAGCGAAGTACGCGTAAGGATCTTGAATATTGTATGAATGGCTGATGCTCGCTACGCTGGAATCAGTAAGTCCATCACGTTTGGTCTACCAATGACCATCGTCAGACGTTCGCATCATCCTCGAAGGCCCGATGCAAATGCCGGGTCGCTCTGATGGCCCGATGATGTGCTCATTTGGTAATTTCTGCTTGCCTCTTTCTCTCGGAAGCACAGACGAAGGAGAGTGCCTCTCCTCGCGTCGTTTGGCGATTCTTCTTACGTAGATCAGCAAAGTTCTTCCTTGACTCGGTTAGCTCACTGCATTGCCTTTTATCACTTCGCTCAAATCAATCATTTTCATCAATAAATTCTGATATCTAATTGCCTTCGGGGATGATAAAAACGTCTGACGACGGTTACTGGCCAAACCTAATCTAAACTCATTATTAAATTGTGTAATTCTTTTGTACACAAAAAAGAATTGGTTAATTCACGGACAGCCAAACATTTAAATTGAAGCAGCCAGAATGTTTGGTTGTAATAACTGTATTCAGTTGTCATAATCAAACATTCTGGTTGCTTCAGCTGAAACGCGGTTGACTGTCGATTGTTCCAACCTTTTGGTAAGCTATCTGACAGTTAAATCATATATCTGTCTTCGTCTTTTCTTCAAATTAGACAGGACCAGACACATGATTTAACTGTTTGGTAACTTACCAAGGAGTTGGAACAACCAGCCCTACACTGAGAGAAGAATTTAGTAAATATTATCAAAATTTGATTACTATTACTAAATGATAGACGTAAATATAGCGGGTCAAAGCTATGGCAATACTTATTAATTAATTTAGTTCTGTAAAATAAATTATTTATTTGACAGAAGTAAAATTTATTTGCTTCCAGAATATATTTGGTAAATAAAACTTATTGAATAGTTGAGCAAAATAAGCGATTTT